TTCTCAAAAGTACAGTTTTAAATATTATGATTTTCCTTGTCTCCTTCCTATCTTTATTTCTTCTTACCTTAATAACCACGTCGCTCCCCTGTGTGCCAGTTTTGACCTCCAAGGCAATGGCCTGAGACATGGCTGGATAAAACTCTACCCATGAGGAAGGAGTCTGTATTGGAAGGAGGAACCTCAAAAACATGTATCCAGGAGTTAATATAGAGGAAAAAGACACATACTTCCTACCCCTCTCAGCCATTTTGAGAGTCTTTCTTGGAAGTCTGAAAAGATAGATCTTGGGTTCTTACTCTAAGCCTTTGGAATGTTAATTAATCATTCCAGAGGACAGATAAACCTGATGTAAACAGCTTCACAAAGAGAAAGTCTCCTTGGTACAAGCTACTTCTTGCTTCATCTTGAAACTATTACCTCCAGAAGATAAATCTCTAGAGTTTTCTCACTATCAAAATTAGTCAGTAACTAATGACTTGCATTTACCAGGTCTCAAGTGTCAGGAAAATTTGTTCAGAAGGGCTAATTATGCAAACACATAACGATAGTTTCTTTGCAGCTCCACAGCATTTTAATCCATAAACATGATATGTTTCCATATATTTAAAGTCATTTAAAATGTTCTTCTATAAAATTTCATACAGGTCTTCTTTGCCTTTCCTTAAATTTATTATTCTATTTTTTTTCGCATTTTAATTTTAAAATTTGTTTCCCTTTCGATTTTTCTGTATTGATTTTGTTCTAACCATATTCCTAAACTCTTAATGAGCTATATTTTAGGTTCTTCGAAATTTTCTGTAAATAATGACAAATTTGTTTCTTCTTTTTGGATTTTTACAACTTGTATCTTTACTAGACTTGCTTCATTAACTAAGATTTCAGTACAATACTGAATAGAAGTAGCAGTAGCCAGCATCCTTGTCCCTGATTTTTTTTAAAAAATGCCTCTGATACTTCACCACTAATGTTTGCTGCTTTTAATAGATTAAAGGAGTTACTCTCTATTTCTATTTTAGTAATCTTTTTTATTAAGAATGAGTAACTAAATTGCATTTCTGTACTTTATGATTCTCCTTTAATAAATTGAGGTGTTGAACTACATTTATAGAGTTTTTCTAATATTAAACCATTGTTACATTTCTGTGTTAAGCCTAAATTGCAATGTATTATTTTCTAAATAGTAATGATAGTATAGGCAACATTTATGTTGCCGATTATCTGTTCTAATAGCACTTTCCTACCGTAATATAAAGTGCTTAACATTTATTAGATGATTTAATCATCATCACAACCCTGTGAGTTAGTTATTATTTTTACCCCAAATTGAGTCGTTTTTCCCTTTGGAAATTATGGAACCAATAACAATACTAAACACCTATTGAGCAGCAAAGGAAGCTTTTATTCTTGGCTAAGAATAGGAGAAATGGGAAATAGAAATCAATGTCTCACTTCTCAAGAAAGGTAAAAGAAATGAGAGGGATAGATAGGTTAAGGGAGGAACCATCCTGTCTTTTCTGAGGATTTGGGTGCCACCTCTTTCTGCTGCTGTTTGGCTTTTGGTGATCATGTCATGACAGTCGCCATTCTCATGGTGATGGGGAATGAGTTATTTACCATGCAAGTAGATTATAGTGAATTAGAGGTTGTCTGGCCTTCACTCTCTGAGCCACCATAGACCCAGTCAGTTTCAGGTAACACCCCTGAGGAGGAATTTCTGGCTAGCCGGATTAGGATGGGACAGAAATTGAGCTAGGTCAAATAGGTAGTACAAGATTAAGGCAGGATAATGTTATTTTACTTCTATTAATCTCATCTTAATAATGGTGAGATTGAGCACTAAGAAGGTAATTTGCTCAAGGTCAGTAGAGAGAAAGTGGTGCAGGTAGAATTTCTACAGAAGGATTCTAGCTCCAGAATTTGTGCATCTCAACTTTTATACATCAGTAGAATGGATTTGCTCATTTTAAAAGATTTTCACCTCTCCTTTATGAATGAGACTGATTTAAAATTTTTTCACTTGGCCTTTCTTGAAATTTTTAATATTAAGATTATTCTAGGGCTGGGGATTTAGCTCAGTGGTTCCGCGGCCTGCCTTGCAAGTGCAAGGTCCTGAATTCGATCCCCAGTACCAAAAAATAAAAGATTATTCTGGATTTATAGAGTGAGTGAGGTAGCATTGCCTCTTTTGTTTTTATTCTCTTGAAGAAGTTGTTTAAGATTATCCTACTGGAGTCACCGCTTTAGTCATCTGACCTGGAAGTTCTGCTCCACCACTGGGAGGTTGGGAAAATTTTGTTAACTTTTGGTTCTGTTACTTTGTTATAGGGCTCTTTAGGTATTCTGTTTCTGAAAATGATTTTGATAAATTGTATTTTTTCTGGAAATTGTTCATTTATATGCTAAATTTCTTGGCACAGAGTTTTTCATCTTCCTCTTATCTTTTTATGCCTTCTAAATTTGTACTTACAGTCTCTTTTTTTTTTCTCAGTATTATTTCCTTGTGCTTTTTATGCTTGTTCCCTTGATTGATTTCAACAGATGTCTATTTTATTATTTTTCTCAAAAGAATCAAGTTTTGGTGTTGTTGATCCTTGTTCTTTATTTCTATTTCATTGCTTTATTCTTTCTCATATTAGGAGAGAAGATAATTGTGTTGTTGTTTCAGGCTATGTGTTTACTCCTAAATGTGGCTTTATTGTATCACCAGGATTTATTGTGTAGTAAACATTTTTGCAATTTTTAATTTTTCTTAATTTTAAATATTTTAATATCCTTTGTGATTTTTTACAATCTATCAGTGAGTTATTTATAAGTGTTTTAAAATTTCAGTTTTTGGAGTTATATGTTGTATTGATGATTTACAATTTAATAGCAATATTATTAAAGAATTTGATTTATATATCTCTTCTTTGAAAGCTAATGAGACTTGCTTTATGTTCTAGATTGTTTTATTAAAATTTTCTGAGTGGGTTTTTGAAGAGTGTATGTTTCCAATACAGGGTACCAGCTTCTATACATATGAATCTTGTTGATAGAAGTTTTCACATCTTTACACCATTTACTCAGTTTACATATTAATGATTAAGAAATCGAACTTTCTTATCATTGTGATGTATTTACCATTTTCACTGAAGCTCTACTAATTTCTTTTTAATATATTTCGAGACTCTTACAGAATGCACTAAAGTTAAAAATGCTATTTCTTCCTAGTATATTGTATTTTATTATTGTGTGGTGATGTTCCCTATCCCTAATAATGCTTTTTCTACTAAGGTCTAGATTTTGTATCTTAATCTGGTATAACAAATTGCCTTTAACTGGTGAGTTTAGACCTTTTCTATTTCTTTTGGTAACTAATATATATAGATATATTTTTGCCTCTTTACTTTTTGCTTTTGGTTTTTCATACTTTATTAATGCATCATTTTTCTGCATCCTTTTTAAAAAAGTTTTAATTGTAGTAAATTCATATAATATTTTCCATCTTGATCATTTTAAAATGCACAGTTTAGTAATGTTAAGTGCATATTGTTGTACAGCCAATCTCCACAATTCTTTTTATTTTACAAAATCACATAAGTTGTTGTTTCCTTGTTCAGATTTTTCTTTCTAGCTTTTTGGTAATTATTTCTAAATTTAATATCTTAAACTATTCCCCCCCAAACAATTAAAAGGTTTTAATTCTATTACCTCTTCCCAGTTTTTGTGCTGTTTTTTGACACATATTTTAATAGTTATGTGCTTTTACTGTACAAATCAGACATTTTTCTAATGGTCATATATATACATTTCTTCATGTTCACATTCATGTTTACCAGTTTCTCACCCTTTCAGCCTTGCATTAGACCTTTCTTATAAAACAGTGCCCTTCCTGGATACAAAGCTGTAGAAGTCTCTAGTGCAGATGTGATTGTAGTACACTCTGTCATTGGAAAGTAATTTTTCTTCATGTTCAGTTTGTTAATCTCTTTGAAAGTATTTTTCCACAGTTTCTATTATTTATGCTTGTTTTGAGTTGAATCTTTTTTTTTTTTTAAGTAGAAAAGTTGCCCCTTTTTCCCTCTCTAATTTCTTTAGGGTATTTCATTTCTCTGGCATTATCTGGTTTTATTTTTTGAACATTTCTGCCTTTGAGTTTCTTTTTCTTCATAAATACAGAGCTTTCTATATTGGTAGATTCATGTTTTTGAACACTTTTTTCATTTCTAAATATTCTATAGAATTCATTTATAAATCTGCTTGATCATTTTAATCTTTTGTTATTTTTCCATTTTTATAGTTTCTTGTTTTATTACTTCAGATATTTCATACATAGCCATCTTTAAGTTGGTATGGGATCATTCTAATATCCAGATACCTTTGCTAGTTGTTTTGTTTATTGTTTCCATTTGATTATGGTGGTTTGTTCTCTAGGCATTTGGGGATCGGTTTCTGTGAGCTCATATTTGTTTGCTGTTAGTGTGTGAAAAAAAAAATTTTTGTTAAGGTTTTTCCCCCAAAAAAAGATCAGTTTGGTTTGGTTTGGTTGGGTTGGGTTTTTTTGGTAAGGAAGCAGGCAGTTGCACTGATCCTAGTCTTTTGTGGCCCCTCTGAATCAAGGAGTCTCAGGCTTACTTTTCACCTCCTTGCTACTTAGTCTCCACATTATTATTATTTGGAATTATTTAGTTTATTTTTTAAAAAATTTCAAAAGTTTTTATTAAATTTCACAAAAATCTTTATTTTGACCATTATATCTTGTATTCCTGTACTCTCTACCCAGTTGTGGAAACCTAGTTAATTTAGCTCCTCTCTTGAATTTATGTTAGCATAGACATTGAGAATATAATTAGGGCACCATGCCCTTATTATCTGTTTACAAGTAGTTTATTTCCTTTAATTTTGTCCTGAGGTGAATAATTTTGGCACTTCTTGACTTAAAAATAGGTACTTTGATGGCCAAATTTGGTCTTTAGGTTGCAGACTTGGTAACTTATATTCTTTTTACAAAACTGTAGGAACTAGTCCAGGCTAGTGAGCGATTAAAAAACCAATCCAAAGAGCTGAAAGACGCACACTGTCAGAGGAAACTGGCCATGCAGGAATTCATGGAGATCAATGAGCGACTAACAGAATTGCACACCCAAAAACAGAAACTTGCTCGCCATGTCCGAGATAAGGAAGAAGAGGTGGACCTGGTGATGCAAAAAGTTGAAAGCTTAAGGCAAGAACTGCGCAGAACAGAAAGAGCCAAAAAAGAGGTTAGTAGTCAGGCAAATTTTGTAGTGCTCATTCGGTAGTGATTAAAGTTGCTTTTTGAGACTAGTGAAATAATACATATTTTAGTCTTTAATTTTTTAAAACAATTATTTTTACAGTTTTTAAATATTTACATGAATTTCAACATTTGAATTATTTTCCTATTAAAATGTAAATTCCCATGGGGAAAATATGTTGTTTGAAAAATTATAAATGTGAAATCTTTTTGTTTTTTTCATTTTAAAGTTGGAAGTTCATACTGAAGCTCTAGTTGCTGAGTCATCTAAAGACAGGAAACTACGTGAGCAGAGCGAGTATTATTCTAAGCAACTGGAAAATGAATTGGAAGGACTGAAGGTACATTTTTATTTCATATTTATTACTCTTAATTTTCTTCTTTTTAGATTTGATAGGTGTGTTATGTACTCTTTGATGTAGAGTGAAAAGAAGCTATCCTTCAAACCTTAGATGCTTCTCATTCACTGGTAGGAAGCTGGTATAGATTTTCTTGTCATGCTGATAAAAGAGAATACTATGTTTAGTGAGGAGTAGGAATCTACTGGCTGAATAACATGTATTGGTAATCTCCACAAGAATTGTGATAAGATGTATTATCCCCTCCCCATCTGCCTTGTAAATGACTTAGGAGAGGCTCAGACAGCTTTGCAGACACTTGTCTTAGTTGGGATGAGATGATAGTAGGCACAAGCTAACACATTTCAGCAGAAGTTGCTTTGCAAGGAAAATTCTCAAGTCCTTTCTCAAGTCAGACTGCTTAGTTTTAACTTCTAGTTTCACCAGTTACTAGCTGTGTAACATTGAAACAAACACCTACCCTCTTTATCCTCTAATTTTCTCATTCATAAAATCCTATTTCATGTCAGGAGTACATACACACACAAGTCCACAGTAATCATTAGTATAGTAATAGTATTACATATGTCAAAGAAAGTTTCAGAATCAACTTGAATAATATTTCACGAAGTCCAGGTGCTCATGTGCTGCCTTCGAATTCTGTTAATAATTGTAGCATAACTCTTATTAATGTCTTATTCACACTATCTCCCCACCTAAACTGTGACATTGCTTATGGAAAACACAGATAGTTATATTATTAACCTGGTTCTGGGCCAGATGTTTATTACTTGTTCAATACGTGTGTTAAATCAATAAATGAATCATGTGAGAGAGTTAGAAACAACTTACTGTTCCTCTGACAATTGTGTATGTGTCTACAAGTAATGTTCTTCGTCTGCTACAAATAGAAATGTAAACTCTAGATTTGATTTCTTATTTTTGTTTTAGAGATTTATTTATTTTGGTTCATGAACTCAGAGCCCTGGTTAGCTTTACAAATTAAAAATGTAATCTATACATAAGGTGTGATTGAAAAATATGGTATTTATATAAATTTTAAAAATTTATTCCAGTAAAGTACACATTGCCATTAATCTCCATCAAGATACTCCCTCCAGCTTTGAACACACTTTTCCCATTATTCTTGCCACCTTCTGAAGCACTTTTGGAAATCTTTTGTGAGCATTTTTAGTTGCATTGTTGTGGCTCCCTCAACATCCTCAATCAATTTAAAATGTTTACCTTGAAAGAATGGTTACTTTGACTTTGAGAATTAGCCAGAAGTTGCACAGTACCAGATCTTGTGAATAAGGTTGATGAGGACATACTGTAACATTTTTACGAGCCTGCGTTTTCATTGGATGGCACTTGGCAGCAGCCTTCACTACATTTTTTATCATACTTCATTAAGACAGTCACAAAAGAGAATTCCCAGAATGATTGGATGATCTGGGGGTGGTGACACACACCTGTAATCCCAGCACATAGGAGGCTGAGGCAGGAGGATGGTCACATGTTCAAGGCCAGCCTGGGCTATATAGTGAGTTCAAGGTCAGACTGAACTACATAGCAAAACCTTGTCTCAGAAAATCCAGAATGATTGGGTAAATGTTCTCAAAGTGAGGGGAAGTATTTTGAGGGGAGGCAATGGCAAAGTGTTTTTACTATAATAAATTTTAAAAATTTAAACATCATCCCCTTTTATATTAGTATATTTTTATGATACATAATAAATACATTTTATCTTATTTTTTGATCACTCCATGTCACCTAGCCCTGTGGAGCAGGATTAGCATACAGAAGTAATTACTGTCACAGATGTTTTTCACTCAGGGTCTGCTTTGTTTCCAGGACTGTTCTAGGTGCTTTGAATAATAAAAAAGAAAAAGAAAAAAGACCTATAAAATACACACTGGAGGAAATCTTGGGCATTGTTTGTATTTAAGAAATTGTTCTAAGCCCAAGGTTTTCAACTTTGAATGCCATGTTTTATCTAGTAGTTTGCTGGAGGTTTATTGTCTGTGATAAATACTGCTGCACCATAAACTCTGAATCACATATATTTTCCTACTTGTCCAAACACTCATAAATTTGAGGTAATAATAGAGTTACCAAGTAAATAATGCATTTAAAGAGTTTAGAACAGAGCCTGACACACATTAAAGTTCAATAAGTATTTGCTATGATTATGACCATACTGTAATTTCCTTAGGATATTTCTAAAAGTGGAGTTTCTTGGACAAGAAATAACACAAATATAATTTTTAAAGATATTGTGGCTCTTTTAAAAATGATAGGAGTTTTTACTACGTGAAGAGTAATTTTCAGCAGACTCAAAGGAAGAAGTAAGTAATTCTACAATAAGAATTAGAGATGTCAATATCCCAATTCTAGTAATGGATAGAACATGTAGACAGAAAGTCAATAGTATATTCAGGTTTTGAACCACACTATAATCAACTAGATTTAGCCAATGTAGTGGCTTCCACTGCAAAACAGCAAAATTACACTTTACAAGTACATATTGCAGACTCTCCAGTATTGACCATATGTTAGGCCACAAAATGAGTCTCAGTATATGTAAAAAGATTGAAGCTATACAGACTATCTTTTCCAACCACAATGGAATGGAATAGGCAATCAGTAGTACAAGAAAAATTAGAAAATACTTAGAGAAGAGTAAAAGTGAAAACACAATATACCAGAACTTGTAGGGTATAGAGAAGGCAGTACTGCAAGGGTAATTTATAGCTGTAAATGCCTATATTAAAAAAGAAAAAAGAAACCAGTAACCTAATTTTGTACCTTAAGGAACTAGGAAGAGAAGAACTAAACCCAAAGACAGGAGAAGGAAATAAATAGTAAAAATTAGACCAAACATAAAATAGAGAATAGAAACATAAAAGAATCAGTGAAACCAAAAAGTTCTTTGAGAACATCAACAGAGTTGACAAACCTTTAGTTAAGAGAGGAAGAAAGGGAATGGAAATAATTAATGTCAGAAACGAAAGTGGATACTTTATTACCTGTCAACAGAAAGTAAAAGAATTATGATGTTACTATGAATGACTATATGCTCACAAAGTCAATAACCTATATAAAAGGGACAAATACCTAGGACACGATAACCTAAAATGAGTCAAGATGAAAGAGTTAACACCAGTCCATCTTGAAATCTTGCAACTGCAGAAGAGGAGTAAACAGTTCCCAATTCATTCTGTGAGGTCAACATTATCCTGAATACCAAAGCCAGATAAAAACATCACAAGAAAATTATAGACCAACATTCCTTTTGAATATTGATATACAAATTCTTAACAGAGTACTAGCATATTGAATCCAAAAGCGAATTTCAAGAATGATACACCATGATTAAGTAGGGTATGGCCCAGAAATGCAAAGGTTTCTAACAGAAGAAAACCAATCAATGTAATGTATCACATTAATGGACCCCCCCCCAAAAATCACATGATCATTTTAATTGGTGCATGAAAGTAATTTTACAGAATTCAACATTCTTTTATGATCAACATTCTCAGAAAATGAGATAAAAGAGGACATACTCAATATGATAAAAGACATTTTTATAAACTCACTGGTAACATTATACTGTGGAGAAAGACTGAAAGCCTTCCCTATAAGATCAGAAATTAGGCTAGAATGCCCATTTTCACTGTTGCTGTTTATTGCTCTTTATTGGAGATTCTAGCCAGAAGAGTTATACAAGAAAAAGAAATGGAAAGCATCCAAATTGAAAAGGAAGAACTTAAACTATCTCCCATCATAGATGACCTGATCCTATGTTTAGAGAATCCCAAAGACTAAACAAGAAAGATATTACAGCTTATAGACAAATTCCCAAAGTTGCAAAGTATAAGATCAATAACAAAAATCAATTGTTTCTGCAAGCCAGCAACAATCTGCAAAGGAAATTAAGAAAGCAGTTCTATATTAAATAGCATATAAAAACCTAAAATATCTCTAAATGAATTTAACCAAGGGAGTTAAAAACTGAAAATCACAATACATTGCAGAAAAGAATTAAGACCTAAATAAATGGGAAGACATCCCATGTTGATACTGTTATTTATCAAGTAATGTATTAATATTCAGATTATATAAAGAACTTTTACAACTCAACAAAAAGATGAACAACTCAATCAAAAATGGTCGAAGGACTTGAACAGATATTTCCAAAGGAAATACACAAAGAAAAGAAAAATTTTCCAAAGAAAAATTCTTAACATCATTAATCATTAGGGAAATGCAAATTAAAACCAAAATGAGATATTTTACCTTCTAGTATGGCTAAATTAGAAGAAAAGAAGGAAGGAAGAAAAGGAGAGAGAAAGAAAAAGTAAAAAATTGATGGGAAGGATGTAGAGAAATTGAAATCCTTGGACAGAGCTTATTGGAATATAAAATTTATTTATTTATTTTTTGGTATCAGGGATCGAACTCGGGTCCTTGCGCTTGCGAGGCAGGTGGCAGAACCACTGAGCTAAATCCCCGGCTATTGGAATATAAAATTATATAGCCTCTTTTGTAAACAAGTTGTTGGTTCTGCAAAAAGACAAATAACTATCACATGACATAGCAATTTGACTTCTAGGTATATACTGAAAAGATTTGGGAAAAAAAAGGCTCTAAAATATACTTTACACCAGTATTCATTTAAGTATTATTGCAGTAGCAAAAAGGTAGAAGCAACCCAAGTGTCTTTTAACAACATTTGAATAAACATTGCATGGTACATACATGGAGTGTCATATCAGTCAGCTATACAAGTGAATGATGTTCTAATATATGATACAGCATGGCTGATTCTTGAAAACATTAAGTGAAACATGCGAGAGAAAAGGACAAATAATGTATGCAGTATTCAGTTGTCTAAAATTATCAAATTCATTTTTTTTTGGTACCGGGGATCCAACTCGGGACCTTGTGTTTGGGAGGCAGGCAGCGGAACCACTGAGCTAAATCCCCAGCCCCTGGAATTATCAAATTCTTAAAGTAGAAAGTAGAATAGAGGTTACCAGGGTCTGGTAGAGGGGAAAGTAGAGTTAATTCTTCATTGTTACAAAATTTTTCTTTAGGATGATAAAGTTTTGGAAAGATATATTGACGAGGCAAAATATTGCAAATGTAATTAATGCCACTGAATTGTATGCTTAAAATGATTACAATGGAAAATTGTGTTAAATATATTTACTACTTAAAAAATTAATGTAATATGCCAATAACCAAGACAATTGAACTTTACATTGGGTAAATTATATGGTGTGTGAATTATCGTGTGAAAATAATTTTTAAAAGAATATTTTATATTTATTACCATATGTTGCTAGTTTTTATCCCCCCATTGTGTTAGTTTTCTAGGACTGCTATTAAAAAATAACACAAACTATCTTAAAAATAAAAAATGCATTATCTCAGTTCAAGAAGGCTAGAATTTCAGCATTAACTTGTTGGCAGAATTAGCTTCTGATAATTACTGGTAAACTTTGGTGTTGCTTGACTTAGAGATCCATCAACCACATCTGCCTTCATGTTCACATGGAGTTGTCCCTATGTGTGTGTCTTGATGCCCAAATCACTCCTTTTTATAAGGACACATTTATGTTGGATTTCATTTCAACTTTCTTCTCTGAAAGACTATTTTTAAATGAAGTCACATTTTGAGATACTAGTAGTTAGGCCTTCAACATACGAATTTTGGGAAGACAGTTCAATATACAACATTTGTATTTTTCACCCAACAATGTAGTAAGCATTTTTTTTATTCAAAATTATCACAAACATACTTTCAATTATTACAAATAGTCAACAGGAATACCCACATAGCCAGTTCTTTATAATTATATTTTTAACTTTTTTCTTTTGTAGCATAATTGCCATGAACACCTTTATCTACTGCTTTTCTGTATTATCTTCTTAAAAGTGATACCTGAAAATGAACAGAAAAATTAACAGAATTTAACAGATCATTTTTAGACATTTCATAAATACAACAAATCTTTGTAAATATGAGAGGCCAAAAAAGTTGTGATTTTTTTTTTCTCCGTTTCTTTGTTTCTTATGGATTATTAGTCATGTCTTTTCTTTGTGAATTTTTCAGTTAAGTTTTTTGGCCCATTTAATTTTGTAGTCCTAATGTTTTTCCTTATCAATTCTTATAAACTTGTTACACAGTAAAAATTTTACATTTTCTTATATTGTCCTCAGCATTTCTAGTAATGCTTCAAAGCTTAGTTTATCCTTCTCTTTCTAGAGTTTTTAAAAATATTTAATTTTACTTTCCTTTGGATGTTGTTCCAGGGGATCTGTAAGTACTTTAACACTTTGATCTATTTAGAATTTGTTTTGCTAAATCGTAGGAAATGAGATGTTTTGTTCTTTTATAGTTAGCTGGTGATTTTAGTTCCATTTATTAATCGATACCTTCCTAAGTAACTAAAATGTTTTGTACATATATTAAATTATTTTGGGGTGATCTATTACTGTGATACTTTGTTAATGGCTTATAGATTTTTATTTCTGAGATGAATATCCCTTTTCCTTTTTAAGATTTTCTTTGATATTTTTAATAATTTATTCTTGTCTACCAACCAGAAACATTTGTTGCCATCCTCTGCTATTCCCCAGCATTTCTTCCATATTTAAAAAGAACACCCCCACCCCCATACAGGGATCAAACGCAGGACCTTTCACTTGCGGTGCAGGCACAACACCACTGAGCTAAGTCCCCGGCCCCCAAAAAAGAACTTTTTATTAGAATTACATAGAAGAAAATTTGAAAAATATTGAATACATGTTATATTTGATCTTCTCTTTCAAATACTTGGTATTTTTCTATTTTGTTTCAATCTGCTGTGTCTTTCATAAAGACTCAATAGTTTTTTAATATGTCAGAAATTTCCATAGTTCCATATGTGTGTGTATATTAGCATTTGGTGTTTTTTTGTTTTGGGGGGGTTTTTTGATACCAGGGATCAAACTCAGGACCTTGCGCTTGCAAGGCAGGTGGCAGAACCACTGAGCAAAATCCCTGGCCCCTACATTTGGTGTTTTTTATTTGACTCTACTGTTAATGAAATTTTATTATATTCTCTTAATGCTTATTTTAATATTTAGAAGTATTGCTGACTAGTGTTTACTTATAATATTGTTTGATTGAACTTTGTTCTACCCTTCATTATATTCATTTATGTCTGGGTAAATGGAAATTATTTTATTACAATACTTCTTTTTACAATACCAATTTCTGTTTGCAGCTTCACTTATTGGTCAGATAGGATATCTAAAATTAATATTATACAAGAATGATGATGGAAGACATCCTTCTGTTGACATTTCTGAATTTATTGGATGTACTTTTGATGTTTCACCAGTATTTTGCCTGATTCAAAATGGATACTGTTTTTTTAATTAGACTTACTGAACTCCTTTATAAATGGTTTTATTGTGAGATGTGGAATAGTATTTGCAATTATTATGAAAGTTTATCAGGTACTTTCAGATAAGGATAACGACTAAAGCATTTGGATTTTAAAATTTAATCTATCAAATTAATGCATTTATTAGGAAGTTTACTAATATTAAATTACCTTCTTTACCTACAGTAAAAGCTATTATTTTGTGGTAGTTCTTTTATATAGTTTCATTTTTTAGTATTTTATTTTGCTTTTTTACTTTATTATTAATAAGTGATATACAACTCTAACTTTAACTGGTGGCATCTTTATTAGGTTTTTTTTTTTCAGGAGAATTTTTCTTTGAAATATCTTATACATTCTCTTGCTAACCTAACAGCCAACCACACAGAACAGCAAAGTTAAAATGTTTCTCAGGTGATTAGAAAACTGAAAGAGTCGGTGCTGCAAATATCAATTTAGGCATCACTTTCACAGAGATGCATAGGAGCAAGAATCTGACTTGTTCTGGCTCTTAGTTGAAGCAGTTTTGCATCCCAGGCCACTTCAGAAACCACTGAGGAGTGGGCTGGGGATTTAGCTCAGTGGTGCCACCACCTGCCTCACAAGCACAAGGTCTGGAGTTCGATCCCTGGTACCAAAAAAAAAGAAAGAAAGAAACCACTGAGGAATCTGGACCTAGCACATACGTCTTGTCTTGTCTTTTTTTTTCTTTATTTTATTTTATGATACTGGGGATTGACCCTAGGGCCTTTGCACTGAGCTGCATCCTCAGCTCTCTGTCTATACATCTATCTATCTATATATATTGAGACAAGGTTTCGATAATTTGCTCGGGCTGAGCTTAAACTTGTGATCCTCCTGCCTGAGCCTCTGAGTCAGGGAGTATAGGCATGTGCCACCAAGCCTGACAAGTCTTTTCTTAATAAATGGTTGAATATTACAGAGGGTGCCCACACCCTCACACCCTCCCCACCCAGGGCATTTTTTGCTGGCCCACATCAGTTCCTTTACTCGTTTTAAATTATATACCTCACATGTAAAGAGCCAGGACATTTTTCTTTCAACTTTAAATCAACTACCTTGCCAGTTTTTCTGCCCTTATGACTAGCTTCAGAAAGGACATGGTATGCTCCAGCTCTTAGCTACTTGTTGTCAATAAACCTAAACCTATAGGCATTTTTACACTTGATCTTAGCCAAAAGGCCGAGAAGCGATTAGGCATTTTAGTGTCAAAAGCTTTATTGTTGTTCACTTGGACAAACAGGTTAGAACCAATTAAATGACCTTTGTAAGTTACTAAGCTCAAGAAGTCTCGGTCATCATCTCTGGTCTGTGTGTTTCGGTTTACCTTTGCGGCAGTAGCTAGGGGCTTTGCATTTCTTTTCTATTACTGAAAGGCCATTTTTACCTATTTCCTGAAAGGGTGGATTTCAAACAAATTTCTCCTCCTTTTTCTTGTCCTACCTAAAAGCCAAGAGACCTACCTTGTTGGTTTTTTGTTTTTGGTACCAGGGATTGAACTCAGGATCTCTTGTGTTTGCAAGGCAGGCAGCTGAACCACTGAGCTCAATCCCCGGCCAACCTACCATATATATTTTTATGGTATAGATATGAAAATGTTACTATAGACATTTGTCATTTTCCTGGACTGTTGCAAAAACCCCTTTCTTTTCTTTTTGTTTCTTTTATCCCCCATTTTAATCTTTTAAAAACAGAAATGTGCTTTAAAAGCTTTCTGACAGTTCTTAATGGGATATAAGATAGTTTAGTTTTTCCTAATCCGTACACCAATAGTAATTCTAAGTTGAAATTTAAATGTAAAATAAGAAATTATGTAAGTGCCAGCAGAAGGTTGTTCAGATAAATAAAAATAAGATTGTTCAGATAAATGGTGGTACATCCTGTAATCCCAGCATTCACTTTGAATACTGAGGCAAGAGGATCATAAGTTCAAGGCCAGCCTGAGCAACTTAGCAAGACCTTGTCTCCAAAAAAAAATGAGATAAAATATGTGATCTTGGTGTAAAGACTTAAAAATAAAAAGACACAACCCATAAAGGATTATAAACTGAGGAAGATATTTACAACACATTTCAGAGAAGTAATTGTCTTAAATAAATATAGTATTGTTTTTTGTGTGAGAATATATAAAATGATGTGCAGTTCTATGTATAGTCCTGTATAGAAAGGGATTATTATTCTTATAGGTGAACCAATCTTGTGTTATTATTTCTGTAGCAAAAACAAATTAGTTATTCACCAGGCATATGCAGCATAGAACACCAGCAAGAGATAACCAAACTGAAGACTGATTTGGAAAAGAAAAGTATCTTTTATGAAGAAGAATTATCTAAAAGAGAGGGAATACATGCAAATGAGATTAAAAATCTGAAGAAAGAACTGCATGATTCAGAAGGCCAGCAGCTGGCTCTCAACAAAGAAATTATGGTTTTAAAAGACAAATTGGAAAAAACGAGGAGAGAAAGGTAAGAATCAAGTTATTTTACTCATCAAATAAATATTTAGTATCTGTTATGTGTCAAGTTCTGGAGATACGTAGTAAACATCTCAGTTCTCAGGGAGTCTAAAGTCAAAGTCTTAGATAGGAAGTCATAGTATGTACCATACACAGTGTGACAGAAAAGCAAATGTGGTGAGTGTGTGAGTACACATAGAAGCACAGAAAGGACCTGGTACATCCAGGCTTTTTGGACAAAACAGTGTCTAAGCTGAGACCTAAAAAGAAAGGAAAAAGAGTGTCTAGGTAAAAGGTAGCAGAAAATGCTGAGATTTACAGAAAAGGGAAATAGTACATTCAGAAAATGAAACTGTGATGGAAGTGTAAATAAGTGAAAGTTGAGAAAAACAAGACTAGAAAGGAAAATAGAGACAAGATCATGAATTAATGCAAGGCATTTGCACTTTATTCTAAGGCCAGTGAAGAAAGTGACATGATTATATTTACATTTCTGAATAATCACTCTTGCTACTCTGTGGCTAATTGTTTAAGAGGAGCAGACAGAAGGTAGGAATCCATCTGCGAGAGATAAGCTGGAGGTCCTTAGGTGGTAATGGCAAAGTTGGAGAGAGTGGCATGGATTCAGAAGGTCTCCTGAGAAGACAGAACCTGCAGGACATAATAATCAGCTATGAAGAATGAAGGAGCAGGAAAAATTATTAATCCTACTTAAGTACCTAGATTTTAGGCAACTAAGTATATGTTACTGTCATTTTCAACTTAATATCGGAAACCTCAATTTATTCAGTTTGGTGCATTCATTCACTCAACAAAATTATTTTAGAACCTACTGTGTGCTAAGCACTGTTGTAAAAATATAGCAGTGAACAAACAGACCCAAAAATTCCTGTCCTTATGGAGGTTTCGTATAGTATGGTTGAAAGACAATAAAGACAGTAAATTATAGAACATATTAAATAATGATAAATGCTAAGAATGAAAATTAAGCAGGAAATGGCATAGTATTAAGAGGGAGAATTAAATTTAAAGATTTTGTTTTTTACCTGTAGTAATAGAAGAGGAATTAGAGTATATGGCCATAGATAGAGGTAAATAGGCGGGAAGGATCTTGTTTATGTATTGGGTTTTCATTGAGTTGGGCATGTTGAATGTGAGGTGCTTGGTCAGTTGGTTTCCAGCTCAGGAAAGTGTCAGATGCAGATTGGAGATCAGAGGTCACTACAGATCGTGATTGAAACCGGGTGCTCTCTAGCCACCTAGAGGAAAAGAGAAGAGACGGCACTGGGCTGAGTTCCAAGGACCACTGTTCCTACAGGAAAGACGGAATGAGAGGAGTCCACAAAGACAGCTGAGAAACCAGAGATTGTGGCTGCAATCTGTAGTGTGGTTTCACCAAAGCTGAGAAAAGACAGCAGCTCATGACAGGGAGAATGGACCACACTTTCCAAGATAGATCGGGTGGGTAACAATAAAGTCAGTGGTGAGTCTCATTAAGAGCAGGTTTGGTGGACGGTGGAAGCAGATAACAGATATTGATGTGGACAGCAGTTATATGATGAAAGAGAGAGTATAGCAAAGTATTTCAAGATATTTACCTGTGAGCAAGATGATAAGGCAAGTGGGAAATGAAGTGTGACATGGTATATGGGAGAGGTTTTTTTTTAAATTATGAGGAGACAAACTTAAACTTATTTAATGCTATTAGGAGAAAGCAAGAATGATTTTATACCAAAATTTTATTGAGTTTATTCATGTACATATTTTTCTGAAAAACTTATTTGCAATTTCGTTGTTGTTTTGAAGTTATTTCTGTTAGGTAGGGAAAGATTCCTAAACATAACTGAATTTAACATTTAAGTGACGTGTTTGCCTGGAGACAGGATGATTTCTTGTCCTTGAATTTATAATTTAAATTATAATGTATGTTCAGTAATTTGTTTATATGAGGCATTTTTAAGATCACCCCTTACTTATGCTCTTTATTCACTTGGCAACAATCATAAAATTACCTAGATTGATCCACATTGAATTTTATTTGTTGCTAACATTCTCCATTAAACTGCCATAGCCATAAACCTGTTTGTCTGTGTGACAACGCACTCTTCAAAACTGATTGAGGTGGCTTTTAAAAGTCTTAGAACTGTGTTCACTTCTAAACATAGCGTTGAATCAGTTTTGTCCCCAGAGCTATCGTGTTTATAAATTTTATAATACTAAATTTGTTTTGTGTGTTTGTGTCTAATAAGGAGAAGGACTGAGAGAATTGAGGGAACTGTTGGGAATTTCACTGTGAATTTTCTATGAGCTGAGAGCAAGGAATCATATTGTGGTACCTTCTCCTCCTGGCCCAACTCCTCCTTTTCCCATACTTAATATATGCATAATCAGAAAAGGTGACCATAGTCAGGTTGTCTGTAGTCACAGGAACTTTTTCCTTAGATGTTCAAATGAAAAATAAGTGGATGTTGTAAAGCAGACAAGTCTATTGGCTAAAATCACATGGAACTCTTAAGATATATGTAAATAAAGTAGTCGATATGATAGCCAATTTGGAATACAGTTATTTTCAATAAACTTGCTTCCACTATGGCATTTTCTGGTATCACCTGCGGACACAGAGGACACCACCACAGTGCTTTTTCAGAATGCTAGTCTTCCCCTTTCTAATGTATTTATTAATTAATGCCTTGGTGAAGGCAGAGTTCTCTGGGTGTTGTCAAGATTGGCCTCAGGGCTGACAGAGCAGATTGCACATAATAGATCCCTCTAACATTTTCACCAACTCTTAGCCAGTAGACTCTATAGTGGGGAAGTAGCAATCTGAAGCTCTTTGATTGTAGACTGTTGTTGGGTCCAAGCTTCCAGGATCTAGTCTAGCAGTAGAAAAGGAGACAATATTGGACAATATTGGTTGGGAAAACTTGATTGGTTTTGTGGATTTGGAAGGTTGCTTAGTGATTATGTCAGAGTATTCTTGACTTTGGGAAATAACAGTATTTAGAGGTAAGAGGTATAATATCTGCAACTGCCTCTCAGTTCTGAAGAATAATGGAGCACATGAAGTAAAATGTTAACAATTGGGGAATCTGGGTGAAGAGGATGCCAGAATTCTTTATACCATTGTTGTAACTTTTTCTATAAAGTTATAAATTAATTTCTAAATATTAAAAAATGTGGAATACTATTCTGAATGAAATCAGTAAAATTAAGACATGACTAGCTCAATCTTAAGGACTCAAGACTTTGTATTTTCTAAGATTGTTGTGGTATATATGCATAAAGAAAACTGTCTAATGTGTCTCAGAAAAGTTTTGTCTTTGGATTAAACTTAATGAATATGAAGCAGTTGGCAATTACTGGTTTCATTTTATTTAGCTTATTTCATTAACCTTCATGAAACTTTCCCTGATTTACAATCTGAATTGGACACTCATCCCAGATAGCATTTACAGCATTACCATATTTTATTTTTCTTTATAGAACTTATCTGAAATTAGTTCATTGTTCACTTTTCATTGCCTATCATACCCTTGCTAGAATATAAGCTCTGAAAGAGCAGGGCCAATCTGTCAAGCCACAAAAATTCCTTGGCACCCTGTAGGTACTCTATAAATCCTTGTTAAATGAATGAAAGAGTCAGTATTATTGTACTAAAGATTCTTCAAGAGTACTTTTATCAGGCTTATCATTGCATACAATCATGTTGAGTTCTATGTGAACAATTTTTCTGTACAAACTGATATTGATGTATTTATTATATAACTATTACAAAAAATTAAGTTTTCAGTTGAAATCCCTTTTTTTTTCCTTTCATGTTTTGAATTGTGTTAGTCAAAGTGAAAGGGAAGAATTTGAAAATGAGTTCAAACAACAATATGAGCGAGAAAAAGTGTTATTAACTGAAGAAAATAAGAAGTTGACAAGTGAACTTGATAAGGTGAGTGATTTAGTCTCACTTGTACTAATTGAGCACACACTGGATGTTCAACACACTGGTGGAAATTGTGGATATGATCTTGTATGTTTTGTACATTTTTGGTTTAAAAGTCCTGTATATATGGTGGGGTTGTGGGGAGAAAGGAACCCTTCTCCATTGCTGGTGGGAGTGCAGACTGGTGCAACCACTGTGGAAGTCAGTATGGTGATACCTCAAAGAACTAGGTCTAGAGGTCCCATTTGACCCAACTATTCCCCTGCTGGGTATCTTCCCCAAAGAAAAGAATCATACCACAGTGATATATGTGCACCCATGTTCATAGCGGCACAGTTCGTAATAGCGAAAGCTTGGAAGCAGCCCAATTGCCCATCCACTGGAAACTGGATAAAGAAAATGTGGTTCTTTTATAAAATGGAGTACTACTCAGCCATAAAGAACGAAAAACTTAGAGTCATTTATAGCTAAATGGATGCATATCGAGGCCATACTCTTAAGTGAAATAAATAGGACACATGTGTAAATACCGAATAGTTTCACTAGTGTGAGAAACTGATAGTGTAAACAAGGGTTAAAATGATTAAAATGAATAATTGATAATTTGAAACAGGAAAAGGTCCAAAGGTGGAGGGGGTGGCGGGAGGGGAAGGGGAAAGGAAAAGAGGGAAAGGAAAAACTATGAGAAAAGAAAAAAATGGAAATAAAGTCTTTGTAAATAGGGAAGGGTGGAGGGGCTGAAGAGCGCACAGGTAATGGGGAAAAAATAAGAACCAAGATATATCATGTACAGGTACAAACACTCATTGATAAATGTAAATGAATTGTATACCTAAAATGTACCAATAAAAGAACTAAAAAATAAATAAAAAAAAATAAAAGTCCTCTAATATAAGCTATGAGTGCTTGTATGATACAAGAAACTTGTTATACACATCTGTGACAGTAGTCTTCTGGGGAGTAAGTTTTGCTTATTTTATTCTTTGTCCCATTTAGTTTTGAGTTTTGAGCTTTATTCTTTATTCTTTATTTTACTTTTGATCTGTTTTCTCTCTTACCCTTTTCTCATATTCTTCACTTTCCCTATCATTGCTGGCTAAGTTGATGGCCAGCTAAGTTCAGGCTGAATGTAGGCTGATCTTTGGTGAGAATGGGGACAGTTAGCTCAAACCTGGAAAAATTAAAACAACTTGATTTCATATTTACAATAGACAACTGATAATAGCTGGAAATGGTACCAAAGGTAGATAAGTGATAATCCCAAGAAAGCAACCCTGCCTAGGTTTGAAGATCAGAACCATGTATTAAACTTAGAAGTAGCCATATTTATGAACAAATTTCATATGCTTAAAGGAATTATCTTCTGTTTAGTATCTCAGATTTCTCAAATGGCTACCATTCTATATTTCTTGTACCAGTTCTCAACAAATAATTGTAAAAGTCCTAATATTAACCAGAAGTTTGAACAGTTCTATTTATATTTAAATCAGGATGCCTGGTTAATTACATTTTATAATGATTTCTGGATTTTGCTTCAGTAAAAGTAGTATTATGTTCAGTTATTAGTTTTATTAGTTATTCTGATAACAGATTGAACGGCCATTATTAAATAGTAATAAAATAGACTTTCCATTCTTTCTCAATTTTCTATTATTTTCACATAGCTCTCTTTCTTTCAGTACATTCTCCATAACAGTTTAGCATTCAAAAATGTTGTGTAGGGCTGGGGATTTAGCTCAGTGGTTTCCCTGCCTGCTGCGCAAGCGCAAGGACCCGAGTTCAATCCCTGGCACCAAAAAATAAAACAAACAAACAAAAAATGTTATATAGACAGGCATGATGGTGCATGCCTGCAGACCCAACATTTGGGAGGCCAAGGCAGAAAAAAATCACAAGTTTGAAGCCAGCCTGGGCCTCATTGTTCATGGTCAGTGGAGACTGCATAATGAGACCTGTGTCTCAAAAATTTTTTTAGTAAATAAAAATACTAAGTAAGCATTTACAGCATTTAAAAATAACCTTCTTTACTTTATAAGCATTTTTAAATGATTTTGCTTGTTTTGTTGAAAATTACTTGTAAAACAATACCACTCATTTTGTTGTCATAGAAAGCTAATGTACGTAAACAGAGGCTGAATAGTAAATAGCATAAAGTTTTTAAAATTTAGTGTGTGAACTTTATTGTATAATTCTTAAATAGTATCTGATTTTATCTAAATAAGTCACATAGTTGTTAATTAATATACTTGACTAATATAATTCCATAGTTTAATATCATTTCTATCTATAAGTCTAATTTAAAGATTTCCTTAAGAGTCAGCTTGGGGTCGGGGATTTAGCTTAGTGGTTTTGCCACCTGCTGCGCAAGTGCAAGCTCCCGAGTTCGATCCCTGGTACCAAAAAAAAAAACAAGAGTCAGCTTAAGGGAAAAAAATGTATATTTACTATATATATGTGTTATTTATATATATAATTAAACTGTAGAAGGAACTTTCATGTAGAATTATTAAGCAGTTGCATAGTAAAAGATATTATTACAGTTTAAAGAATTTTTTATTGAAAAATAATTGAAGTGAATGTATATCAACCTAAAAAATATTTTGTTTAGTTTTATTACTAGCCATAAAGTTCAACTGAGTGTACCAAAAATACCTGTTTAGAGAGCAGTTTTTAAAAAGTTTGTCAGTTAAAACTGTGTTGTAATTTAATAGATAGCAGTTCTCCTCAAAATGACCTGTAGGTTCAGGGCCATCCCCTTCAAAATCTGGTATGGTTTTTTATTATAATTGATTAACTTACCCTTAAATGTATATTGGAATACGAAAGACCTACAATAGGCAAAATATTTTTTGAGAAAAACCTATTAGTTGGGAGATTTGTACTATGTAATTTTAATACTTAGTATAAATATACTATATAATAATAACAAAAGTAGTATTGGCATAATGGAACAGGAAAGAGTCCAAAAATAAGCCCTCACTTTTGTGGAAAGCTTATTAAAACTCTCAATTCAATGGGAAATAGTCTTTTCACATGTTATTGGAACATTTGGATATCTGTGTCTGCAAAAACATGAACTTATTATATAAAAATTAACTCAAAATAGATCATAAACTAAAATAAAGGATATAAATAGGAGAAAAATCTCTGATTTGGGTTAAAGGATACCATTAAAATTACAGTGTATGAGAGGAAATAATGATACATTGAATTTCATGAAAAGTTGAAAACAGCATTGTGAATTTCATCCAAACTTAAAAAGAGTATATGAGAAGAGATAATGATACATTGAATTTCATCAAAACTTGAAAACAGCATTGTGAGATCAAAAGTTCAAGACCAGCCTGAACAATTTATTGACTGTCTCAAAATTAAAAATTAAAATTAGAAAAGACTGAGATGTAGCTTAGCTTAAAGGTCAGTTCTGTAATAAAAGATCCAAAACCTTGAAAACAACATTAAGAAAATGAAAAGACATCTACATGGTGGGGAATCAGGAACAACTACAATAAGGATAGGCAAAATTTCTCAAATATTGGAAGTATTTCAAAACTGGAATGTAGCAGTTGCACAACTATTTATATTTGCCAAAATCATTGAAATGTCCCCTTATAATAGGTGAATTTTATCTTAGGTAAATTATATCTCAGTAAAACTGTGAAGGAATAGCTGGTAAGTTACATTTTCAGAGCTAAAAGGCACATCCTGAGGTACAGTATTTAGAATTGTTGTTTATAATAGCCACATCAGGGTTTGTGCTGGCAATCGTAGTTGCTATAGACCCATTTCCTTTAGAGAAGACAAAGAGATTGGAGGTAGAATTAAATAGAGAATTATAAACAAACTATATGCTATTTGTCCCTTTGGCAGAGGGGAAGAAATAAAACTGCCTTGTGACATATGCCCTAACTGTCTGTCTTTCTACACAGAAGTATAGGTTAAAGACAAACACACAAAAAAACATGAATCATTAGAATTCCTGGTAAAATAGAAAGGGGACTTCACAAACTACGGCCAAATCTGGCCCCAGACTGATTTTGTATGATCCACAAACTAACAGTGATCGTTGCGTTTTTAATTCATTAAAGACTATGTGGCCCTTACTGGTGAAAATATTTACTGTCTAGTTCTTAACTGGAAAACTTTGCAGATATTTTTATTTAGAACATAGTTTAGGACTGTATTGGTTAAGATTCTCCATAAAACAGAACTCTGTCTCTGTGAGAGTGTGTCTGTGTGTATGTGTATGTGGAGAGAGAGAGAGATTGATTAATTGATTGATGATTGATTAGAAATTGACTCAAGTGATTTTGGAGGCTATCAAGTCCCAAGCTAGAGACCTAGGAAAGCCAGTGGTGTAGTTCCAGTCCAGAAGTTGGCAGGCTCAAGACCCAAGAAGAACTGCTGTTGTTTTTTGCTTCAAGTCTGAGGCAGAAAAAACTAATGTCAGCTTGAAAGCAGTTTGGCAGAAATTCTCTCAACTATAGTGCAGTTAACCTTTTTTGTTCTATTCATACTTTCAGTTGACTGAATGAGGCCCACTCATATCGGAAAGGACATTCTTCTTAGTTTACTGATTCAAATGTTGATTTTATCCACAGATATCCTCACATATATCCAGAATAATGTTTGACCAAATATCTGGACACCTTGTGGCCCAGTCAAGATGACACATGGCTATCTCATCCCTAAAAAACTCTGCTCAAAAAACCTCACCTCTTTCAGAGTTGAGTAATCATAAAGAAACTACCTTGTACTTCTAAAAATATGCTGATAAGGAAGAAGGGAACAGTAATACCTCATGGCAAATGGAGAACATTTACTAGGAAAAGTAGTCATGAAATAGATTAAAAATAAAATGCAAGTACTATGGGACATGCAATAAAACATACCAGGCACACTAGCAAATACAAACAAATCATTGAAAATGGGGGTTGAGGGGAGGTTGTAACAGAAAAAAATTGAAAAATGAAAGAGAAAACCAAGTAGTAAGTACAAAGAGAGCCATAGTATTCCCAGCACGGAATTTTTGTAAATAGACTTATGAAATAACTGTATGTGTTCAATATAACTTATTAAGTGAAAAACAACCAAAATACCGAGTAGAAAGTTTAACAGCACATTGGGAAGAGCCAAAGAAAGGACTGTTGAGGCAGAAGAAAGAGAGGGGGATTCACACTAAATTATGCACAGGTGTCAAAAAAAGATAGAAAATACAGAAAAGAGGGTAGGCAGTGTAGAGGAAGTGATAAGAATATCTGATTTACCAGAAGGAGAGTACAGGCTGAAGCAGAAGCAGTGTTTGAAAAGTTAGTGCCCATAACAGATATTTGAGTTTTCCAAATCCCATAAGAAATATTTTGACACAAATTCAAGAAAAGCCACAAACCCTAAAGGTGGAAAATAGAAATCAGACATCACTTGGATTATAGAAGAATTGCCAAAAAGCAGCAACCAACATAAAATCCTGAAAGCAGCCAGATAAGAAAAACACATTATATTCAAAGAGTACAAAATAGACTAAAAGCTGTATTGTCAGTAGAGCAAAGAAAAAAGGAATTCAGAAGAAAAAAGGAATGGCATCTTTCAAACATTGAAATTTTAAAAATTGGCATTTAGAATGTTAAGTAAAGCAAAAATATAGTTCAAAAATGAAGGCAAAAATAAGAACGTGGAAAGCTCTAGAGGACAACTTACTTTTATTAATACATACATTGTAAGAAAATAAATATATAATAGAGAAACCTAAAAATAGACTTAAAAGATATACCAAACTATTAATTACATTTACATATTGATATCATGATTCAGTTTAACAAAATTAAGGTTTTTTTAAACCATGTTGATTGAAATTTGAACAGTTAATGCCTATGTGATGACTTTGTGAAATTTAAGTAATGTATTTATATTTAAAAAGAAAGAGCCTCAATTTTTAGAGACATACTGTACATAGAAATATGTATGGATAAAACATTTCTGTTTTTTTTTTCAGAATAATACTAGAAGAAGTATATGAGGATCAGAGTACAAATGAGATTGTAGTGGCAGTAATTGGTGAAGTTGAGTAGTGGGTAGTGGAATTCACTTAAACTGTCTATTTTTGTATGTTTTTGAAATTATCACTAAATTTTTTTTAAAAAGGAGATGACAGGGCTGGGGATTTAGCTCAGTGGTTCCGCCGCTTGCCTCGCAAGTGCAAGGTCCTGAGTTAGATCCCTGGTACCATAAATAAATAATAAATAAATAAATGAATAAATAAATAGAAGATGGCATAAAGATATTGGCAGAAAAGCAGGGTGGGGGTGGCGCCACCAGCAGAATTGGACAATTCTTTGGGAAAATGGAGAATGTTCACAATTAGAACCCATGCAGTGTAGGGTGTGGGGAAAACCAAAAGAAGGAGAATGCGGGGTACTTGTAATTACCAAAGGTAAGTGGCCAGAAGGGTGTATTATAATAAAAAGGTAAGAGTTTGAGTGGAAGATTGTGAGTTATGCATCTGAACAATTTGAGGTCCTGATCCTAAATGTTATCATGTCTTTCAGCTTACCACTTTGTATGAAAACTTAAGTATGCACAACCAGCAGTTAGAAGAAGAGATAAAAGATCTAGCTGATAAGAAAGAATCTGTTGCACATTGGGAAGCCCAAATCACAGAAATAATTCAGTGGTGAGTACTCTTTTAAATGTGTTCTTTTGTGGACAGTTGTAGACTTAAGGCCAAGTTGGTGAAAATTTTAAGAGGCTGTTAACATACTCTTTATCTCGTTTGTTTGCTGTGGACAGTAAGTTATTTTAAAATGGACATGTTCTGCTATGTTTTCTTTTGTTTCTTTGTTCCCTAATTCCCACAAATATTCCACACTAGTTTTTACTCAGCTTTGTTGAAATCTGTTCTTTCTTATTAGCTTGCTTGCTTTTGTTCTTTTTTGAGGAACCCAAGGCCTTCACTGAGCATTGAGCTACAGCCCCCAGTCAGCCATTTGTTCATTCATTCATTCATTCATTTAGTTATTTTACTTTTGACATAGGGTATCAGTAAGTCACCAAGTTCTGTAGGATGAGCTTGAACTTAGGATCATCCTGCCTCAACCTTCCATAGTGCAGGAATTACACACTCCCTCCACCACCATGCCCAGCTTATTATTTTTTTTTAAGAATAGAAAATGTCATCCCTTCCTACTTCAGAGTTGGTCCTTAAAGAACTCAAGAAATTTATCCACTAGCTACCAGTGTTTCTGTCTGAGATCAAAACTGCTATATTTATGATTAAGGATCAGAAATCTTGAGAAAAATTTAGAAGCAGAAGATGCTATGAGCATTCAATATAATATGAATTTATACATGGCATTTTTTAAAAAGTAAGTGATTATAATTTACTTTTATCATTTATTCCTTAAGCTCTCAGGACTTCATTTTGTTTATTTAGCCTAATAACCTTTCTATTTTTTGAATTAAATGATCATTGTGATGCTTGTACATATTTGTATATTTTATAATACATGGAAAAAGTAAAATATAAAGAAGACTTTATTTCATAGTAAAAATAATTAGCTTAACTTTTGGTATTTATTTGGCATTTTCACCCATTTTGGGACATGATAAATGCTTACTTCATATCAAAACAACTAGTTTCTTCAAAAATCTATACATCAGTTTTTTGTTGGGAATTTTAGTTTTTTGTGCTCATATTTTGATTCAAGCATTTTTCCATTTTTCTTGTTAGATCAATAGTTTCTTTAAATAAAATCAAAAGTGAATAAATGCTATATTGCTAAGCAATTTAACTCAAATTGCTCCAATAGTTTGATATTGGCTTAACTGTAGACCTCTTTGGATAACTAATGTTTGGCTTATGAATGTACCTGTTCACTGTGTATAAAGGAAAATGCCCAGATTGTGGAAATTTGGTTGTGTTCCAAATGGTATAGTTTGTTAATGTTTAATTTACATCTACATCATTACATCTATGTTTCTGAAGCAAAATCATTTTCATCTTGAGCCAGGTTCATAATATCAAAAATTTTGAGTTATCATTTGTTATTCCATTATTACATAATCAAATTTGTAGTGACGGTGGAGCTAAAACTTACTTTATAAGCTGTTATCCTGCAAGCTAGTGTGTTCAAACGTGGGATCCTAGACTACTGCTTTTTGCCAGGAACTGGCAAAATGTGTTCAGCCAAAGTGGACAGAATTCTGGTAAAGGAAGGAAGCTTTAAATGTGGATTCTCTAGAAAAGCTTATTAGGAAGGATAAAGGTGAAAGTTTTTATATGATGCCCCAAAACAGTCACTACACCTTTCATCAAATACAAATTAAGATAATTAAATGAGGAATGTTTCAGGTAATGTGAGTGAATTTAAATAAAAGGAAATAAATATTTTATTATTGAAACCCTTTGCTGATTATTAAAACATTCTCTTGATTTTCCTATACAGATCTTTTCTCTACCTTTTATTATGCAGCCTTCACCATTTCCCAAATTTCATGTCTTATTAAAAAGAACTCAACAACTTCAATGGCCTTATTTATCAAGAATTTAACTCTAAAGTGTGGAATTTGTTTTATTCAAAATAATTTGACAACTTTTCTATCTAAAATCTTAATAATGTTGTCAACTAGTTAGCCTTAAAAGAGGGTAGGATAGCCTTCAAATAGTAAGTAGAAACTGAGTTTCTCTTTGATTATCATGTTGATTTTTTAAGGAAACCAAATAACTTTATTATAATACACCTAATTTTTACAGAGTATCCTACTTTAAATGTTCTAAATTTAGAATACTTCAGTTTTAAGAAGGGTGTGGGTGTATGAGAACCATAGTATTCTTTAGAGAATCTCACTTGTGCACATGTGTAGTAAATGTTGAATTTTAAAGCATTCTGATTCTTTGGCTCAAGGGTGCAGATTTGTTAATTTATCAGATAAGAATATCTCCTAACTTTTCTAAATGAACAGTTCAGCATACATTTTCCCACTTGTTGACAGGTAGTGGTAGTAAGGTAGACCTTTTAAAAGAAATCACTTAAGAACATCTTAATATTTCTATCAGTTCTATTTTTATGAATCTTTTATATATTTCTCACTGAAATGTTTCTGTTCATTTTGCTTTAGTATTTTGTCTTTATTTGTGTGTATTCTAGGGTCAGTGATGAAAAGGATGCACGAGGATATCTTCAGGCCTTAGCTTCTAAAATGACTGAAGAATTGGAAGCACTGAGAAATTCCAGCTTGGGTACACGAGCAACAGTAAGCTCTGCCATTTTGTGTGGAAGCTTATTAGGAAAAAAAGAAGGCTCAAAAAAACACTATAATAAATCTGATTATTTATTATTTTATAGACTTAAGCTGTTGCAAAAATTTTCATGAAGAATCAGTTTAGATCTTTTCCAGTTTAGGAGAACATAGCACATAGCTACTTAGCCATATTCTTTTTTTTTTTTTTTTTTTCTGAGGATCACACTTGGGACCTTGCACTCGTGAAGCAAGCAGCAGCTCCACTGAGCTAAATTCCCGGCCCAACTTAGCCATATTCTGCATAGATAACAATTATTGGAAATAACTTTTTAAAAAATTCATTCATATATGAATATTTATAATTATTTCTGAGCTTAATGAAAATAAATTTCTGAAAGTAATGTTTTTTGTTCTATCATTAGAGCATGGTAATGCTTGTAAGTAGATTCTAACTTCACTTGGAATACTAAATTTAAATGTTAAAAATAAAATAGGAAAGAACTAAAAACACAGCAATACTCTTTTGTAGGATATGCCATGGAAAATGCGTCGTTTTGCAAAACTGGACATGTCAGCTAGACTAGAGTTGCAATCGGCTCTGGATGCAGAAATAAGAGCCAAACAGGCCATCCAAGAAGAGCTGAATAAAGTTAAAGCATCTAACATCATAACGGAATGGTGAGATTAAATAATTTAGTCCTACTAGAATAATTTTTAAGTTTGCTAAAAATTATTTGGAGAGGAGCTACATGTTTAATTTCCTACTTCTTGCTTTTTTTTTTTTAAGAAGGTGGGTAGGAATGACCAGGAAAAGTTATGAAGATTTGAAAAGTAATAGATACTTTCAAGCCTTGTAGGGGGAGTGATGAGATTTTCATTCAGTCTTTCCTCTGGCATGTCCATAAAGTTGAATTAATAATGGTAGATAATATTCCATATTTATTTTCCTCTTATTTGTAAAGTTGAGTTGACTATTAAATTTTAGTCTATTAAATCTAAAATTTTCTCACATTTAAGAATGTCATTTTGTATAAAAATGTAATGTATGATCAGAACAAAACACAGTCATGTGAAAATTGTACCTCTACCATATGTCTTTTACAAATGAATGTTCTGTCGATAGTAGATTCCATAATAGCAAAATATTTTTAAATTATAATTATTTTTCATGTTCCTTTGTGAAAAAAAAAGCAAACTCTCACTCACCCAGGTATTAATGAACATTTCTTCAATTCTTGTCACAAAAATAGAGCAGATCATACTCTGAATGCACATAAATGACAAAATGAAAAATCATATTTGTATTGAATATAAACATTACAAAAATAAATCAAAATAGTTGATATAGAAAATAGAGTAAAATAGAAAGTTTACATTACAAATTAAAGTATAGATGTTAAAGACCATTGGGTGCTCAGACTATTAGAAGTTCCAAAAACATATAGGGTTATAAATTCAGTTTTTAATGGCCTGAAGCCTTAGTCCTTAAACTTCAGTCATAATGATTTGAGCCAAATCAAAGGTCAGATGTAAAACTATAAACCCTGCCAAACTATAAACTTTTTGTTCTAAATAGCACAGACATAAATTAAGTATGTTAATGTGCTCAACATGTGCTTGTATGACTTGTATGACATATGCCTAAATGTGTGACGTTAAAAAGAGAAAAAGTTTTCTGGAAAAAATTAAACCCAACCTATAGCTACTGAATGTCATTCACTGTGTTGTAAGTTGGAATAGTGTGATCTTCTCTTTCTATACCAAGGACATTGGCATTTACACCTTTGTGCATAAAGCAAAGGATATAAGTGAAACTTAAAATTATAAATCTGAAGATGTGCACCACTTTTGTGGTTGTCTATTGAATTCTAACAGAACTAAAAGTAACCTTTGATTTTATAACTTTCTAATTTAGTGATTTAGCTCCACAATCAGCAGATATTTCTGTAAAGGGTCAGATAGTAGATATTTTAAGCTTTAAGGACCATACAGCCTCCTTCATAAGTTCTCAACTCAGCTATTACAGTGCAACATCTGTGGTATATATTGAAATGAAAAATCTTTGCTGTGCTATAGTAAAGCTTATTTTTATATAATACCCTGTGGTAGGCAGTATTTATCCCACCTGCCTTGATTTAACTTGACTGACATTTAAATCAAGCCCAGCTACACACAAAATACTCAGCAGCAATAAAAATTATTAACATTAAGTTACTGACATTTGTTCCCTTTTTTCCCTTATTAAAGTAAACTAAAAGATTCTGAGAAGAAGAATTTGGAACTACTAACAGAAATTGAACAGCTGCTAAAGGATACCGAAGAGCTGAGATCTGAAAAGGGTATGAGAATGTGTGCTTGCCTCAATCAGGACTTATTGTTTTGTTATGAATATAACATATTGCATAAAAGTTAGCTTATTATATACATGGGAGAATGGTTTACATATGCAATTCTGACTCATGAGTATATGTGTATATCATGCATATACATACATATTTGCTAGACTGGTCTCTGAGTTGTTTTGTTTTACTTGATATTGTTGTTTTAAGAATTTATGGTAACAGAAACTTGCCTTGCTATAAATTTATTCTTTCACTGTCATGAACTATTTCTTGAATACAGTTTTTGTAATTAGAAAAAAATTATTAATGTACTTTATGCCATAATATTGGCAAATGGTTATTATGTGAAGTAATCATTCCAGTAGTGGCAGTGTGTCTTAACATTTAGAACTTGGTAAGAATTCTTGAACAAGTATTAGCACATTTTATGTGCTTAGGATGTACAAAATTTTGGAGCAGCTATTTTCACTCCCAGGGCAATTGAGAAAACAATGTATGAAACAGCCAAAGGTGAATCTAAGTTCAGTATTAATAAGGTAATTCAGTAATGAATTATTTGTGCATTTCATTGTCTTTTTACAGTTTTGTTCTTATATTGCTTGCCCTTTCGGATTTTCCAGGATTTATTACTATTTTCTTGATAACTTCTCTTTTATATTTTTCCTTTAATATGGAAGTTAACTCAGAGTACTTGATAGCTGTATTACATGAACTTTTTTTTTTTTTTTTTTTTTTTTTGCGGAACCAGGGATCGAACTCAGGACCTTGCGCTTGCCAGGCAGGTGCGGGCACCACTGAGCTGCATCCCCAGCCCTATTACATGAACTTCTTAAACTTTATTTCCATAATGTGTGAACATTAAGATTGCTATTTTGGAAATATTTTATATGCAGTTATTCAAAATTTTCTTGACAAAGGCCGTCACTGAAAAAATGAACTAGTTAATACTAGGCTTTTTATTAGGTCAAAGGGCCTCTATCATTTCTCAGTCCTTTGACACACAGTAACGTAAAGCTGAGCACTGCACCTGCTTATAAAATTGTGGAGGACATTCTGTAATCAGATAAAGAAGGTAAAACTGTTTAAATACATGATCAATAAAATTTTGTTGGTTGAATTTCTTAATAAGAAAGGTAAAGAGCTTAAAAAGAGTGAATAGGAACTCCGTTTAGAAACATAAACCATCATGCTAATATGAGAACCAAGCTAGGTTTTAATTCATGAAGAGTATAAGGAAGGTACAATAATTAGTGAAGAGGAAAAAAAGACTACATAAAGACATAGCTGACCTGTGGCCCTAACGGTAAGAGACCAATATAGAGTGAGACTTACATATCAGATGACATTGACTGTGTCATTTTAAATTACACTTAAGCTTGAAAAACAAAAAAGACTTCAACTTATTGCATTGTTTTATGAAGGCTTATTAACCAGAAATTTTTGGTTTGCATTTTGAATATTGCAGAAAAAAATTTCACTGTATGTTTTAATGTGCTCTGCTACTTAAATAATATGTGATATTTCAAAATGAGGACAAGGATTTTTTTGTGCATTGTTTACTACTATATCCCTCAGTAGGTAGAACATTGTTTCATACATAATAGGCAGATGTTTGTTGACTGAATGAATTTCTGAATGTATTGATAACTATGATACATTATTATACAGCAATATGAAAAGCACATAAATCATTGGTTTCTTAAGGGTCTGGAAGTCAAAATTGTGTGATTGTTTTCTGCTTTATCTTCTCTAGTATTTATCAACATTTGTATATTTGAAGAATTATTTTTGAGGGTCCGGGGTTTTAGCTCAGTGGTGCCACTGCCTACCTCACAAGCTCAAGGTCCCGAGTTCGATCCCATTACCCCCCCAAAAAAAAAAATAATTATTTTTGAAAGTGTGTATTTAAAGTTAATATCATAGCCAAGAAATAATGTATGAATTTTTAAAACGTCATCTGATAAAAACTGGGGTTTGGGTACTTGATTCTTTCAGTAAAAGAATCAAAATTGCCAAAAGTTTTTTTCATAACTAAGTGCATTTGTTTTGTCACTGCATTATTTTCTTATGAAAGATTATATCCGTATTTATTATGTGATTGAAGTATTTCAAAACAGAAACATGTTTGGTGATAAACTTAGAAAAATAAGATATAAATAAGCCTCTTTTTTTAAGTTCTCTGAAGTCTGCTAAATATTTAGTGTGTTTTTTATGCTATACGAGATGGAAAAAAGTTTAATCACAAGAAACTCAAAATACAAGTATTTTATGGAAATTGATATTAAGTATTGAGTGGTAGTCTAGAGAACTCTAATGTATTTTGACTTTTTAAATATGAAGAGTTGATAATATTGATCAGGTTTAAAATACAGTAGTTTGTGAACCCCTTGAATAGCTTGAGATAGGAAAGGTTGTCCATGAAACTGAATTTTAATTGTTCTAGTTTAAAAATAGTTGCTGCTGTCTTCTAGGTATAGAGCACCAAGACTCACAGCATTCTTTCTTGGCATTTTTGAATACGCCTACCGATGCTCTGGATCAATTTGAAGTAAGTATTACACTTTTCAGATATTTTCTATGGTCAGTTTAAAGTTCATTTTGTCATTTAAAATTCACTTGGAATAAACGTGTTTTATTGCATCTCACATAAGAGAACCTGGAATCTTATATAAGCAAAACATAGTAGGGAAGGAAGATGTTCTGCATGCTTATGGAAAGTACAGTCACACATGTATTTAACAAACATCTAAGAAAGGTCTAAACATGAAATTCATTATTAGATTTAAAAGCAATTTCAGCTCCTGTAAGAAACAATAAAAGTGTAGGGAGGGGTTGCAGGGGGAATGTAGAAGCTCATAATGGCATATTGCTTGTTGTTGTTTCAAATCAATTCATTTTAAAAAAATATACAGTAAGCACTGTTTCTGTTAAAAGTATTACATATAGTGTGTTGGATGGATTCCACTGTAAAGAAATACTGATTGTATAACACTTTGTCATTACTTACCTTATTAGTTAAATTTTTTGCTGGAAAAAAAGTCATGATATACAGTATAATTTTGTCTCTGAAAATTAAGTCAGTGATTATATCTTTATTCAACAAATGAAAATCAGGTAGCTATGTTGCAAGGCACTGTTCTAGAGATAAGGAGTGACCAAAACAGTCTCTCTTCAAAGAGTTTACATTCCAATGACAAGAATTAGAAGCAGAGATTCTGTTTACTTTTAGTAATTATTTTTGTAAGTGCTTACATTTAATTTGATTATTAGTGAATTGGCATGAGCTTCACTTTGTTACTGTATGTTTGGGGCATAGTATATGAATTGTATTCCATTCCCTTAGGAAAGGGAAAAGAATGGCTCTTTAAAATGTAGTTAATCTCTTAAGTTTCTTGGAAACAATGACAGTGACTGCTTTTTCATTTATTTATTTATTTATTTGAATTAATGTCATTTGTCTTTCAATTGTTTCATAAAATTTTGATTTATCATTTGTTCTTATTGAATTGCTTCATCCATATTTTCTATTTTTTTATTGCTGTATTCGTTAAATAGGATTCCTTTTCTTCTTCCTCATCCTCACTGATTGATTTTTTGGATGACGTAAGTCTTTGCTTTTCAAACCAATGCATCCTTCCCTAAAAGAGATCAGTGAATTGATTTGAAGAATTTGCTTATTAATGCAGTCAGTTTTTGAAATATCACACTTGGAAATTTATCTTGGTCTGGTAATATGCTTCCTCATTATCTTAAATATAATAAAGTAAAAAAATAAACTTTGAGAACTGCTTTGGCTATCAGAGAATCTCTGTATTCCCATGCTTTGCAAGAATTCCAGAGTCTAGAGTGCCTGTTTAAATTATTGTCGCTATGTATACAAATAATTGCTCCTTTTTATTTTTCATGATGATTTCTATTTTACTTTCCCTTTTTCTTTTCAGCGCTTTACTGTTTAATATCTGAGTTGGATAAAAATAAACCTCTGCTGGTATAATCAGAAAGTGACATTTTAAAAATTAAATCTTCCAATAAAACTTATCATAACATAATAAGTGTACCAATCAATTTCTAGTTCTCTTCTATTGTGGAAAGTGATTTTAGTTAGAATATGCACCATTTGCCTATAAATTGACTGCATTATCATTTTCTATCCCTAATTCTATAGATTTAATAATTGAAACTTCTATTAAGTGTGTATAGTATATTATCTTTACAGTATTACCTGTTATGTACCTTTTATGTATTCCACATTCAGTGGCACAAAATCCTTGTTGTGTAACATTTTGTTATTTTGTTGAACATTCTGACTTTCCAGAAATGAGGAAATAAAATGAGTTCAAATGCAAATATTTTACTTAGAACTGTTTTCATACCCAGGAGGTATTCTTTCAATGTTTTATTCCTTATGTTTTATTAAGTAAAATATAACATTCACAAGAAAATTTAGCATAATTTTCCACTAAAGTAACTTCTTGTTTTAAATTTTTTCAAATTAATGAACCAATGTGATTTTCATATTTTTGAAATATTTATACCAAATAAACTTCCACTACACATGGAAACTTTTGTTCTTTCTGATACAAAGAATTACTGAAATTCTATAATGTAATCAAGTAACTGTACAGATAAATAAATGATACTGCATGTTGTCTGCTGTTCAGTATATTGAAATACCCACTATGTTATTTCTATACAGATATCATTCAGCTTAGAATGAGAAGAGATTTTGAGTAATGTATTTCACTCTTTTCCCTAAAGAGGCATTTATACCTTTTTTCTAAAAATTCTTGCCTTTGACATCTTGCCATAAAAAATCTCTGATGGTAAAACAGAAGTACTATACATTTTGGCAAATAAACAAGCTCTTCTCCACGGAAGATCCTTTAGGAATGCCCACCTCTGTCTGGTCCCTGGCTTATTTTCATTCTCTTGCACACATTGCCACCACCACTCTCCAGATGTAATGGGTGTTCAAGTCACAGCTGTTTTCCTACTGTTACTTTTTCTCCAGGAATATCCTTTCTTATCTTTCACTCACTGTTACATAGTACAAGCTCTATTCAGACATACATTAAATTCTGTAATAGTGCAAAGGAATGCCAATATAAAGTAGAAAGGAATTGAGTTCATAGACGCTGCCCAATCTTTGATTCTTATTCCAGGTCATAAAAGGTATGATTTTGAAGATACATTTTCCTATTGCATTGGTGAAACACATATCCCAGTTCTAATTTCACTTTCTAGTTATATAGTTTGGACAAAGTCAGTTAACCTTTCCATGCCACGGTTTGTTCATCTAGCAATAAGAATGGTAATAGTATTTAATCTCATGAATTGGTTTAAAGATTTAAGGAAACTATATAATGTCTTTAATAATATTGGTATTTTTTTCTTTACTTTTAATAGGCTGGTTTCTCATCCTTCCTGGATTCTCTTTAGTTTCCTTTTTTGTCAGTTCTCTTTCACATAAATGCTTTCTTAGCTCTTTGTCAGTCAGCCTGCTACCACCACTATGAATCACATTTCCTTTTGAATTGTCAAAACCAATACCATTGGGAATGATTTTTATCAGAGTAAAGGCTTGCAGTAAGTGCTCACTTAAAATTTTTTTCTTTTCTATTTTTCTGTTCTTCATTTATATTTTATGGCACAAACCTCTTGCTTTTGTTTCTTGTTCATAATTATGACCACCCTTCCCAGAGTTACCCCACTCACTTACTTTATCCTCAAAGTCATAGTAGAATGATGTTTTGAACAGCAGTATTCAATCTTTGGCATGCTTGCTTTTAGCATCCAAGGTATAAAAAGTTCTGTAGCTCTCTCTCTCTCTCTTAGGCATTTGAATTTTTAAGGAACAAATCAAATCTTGATTGTTCTTTGTGCCAGATCTGGTGTCTGGTTATATTGTGCATAATTCTGATAATATGTGACTTCCCCCTATAGTAAGTAGTTTCCAATATCTGATCCGTAACACCATCTTTCTGGTCATTCTTTTCTGTTTTCTCTCTCATTGCTATAGAAAAGATAATGCCAAAGACCTAAAATTTGAAGCTGGAACTTGTAGATATAGAAGAGAGTAAGGTTTGTATTAAGCAAAATTTTAGAAATCAACTTTCCTTTCGTGTCTACACATAGCCTGTCTTCCTCTGTGCCCAAGAGCTCATTGTCCTCATGCTGCCCTCTGGTTTTTCAGTTTTACCACCAGTAAATCTTCTCCTCCAAAATTACCTTCTGTTTTTGTCCTTCTACCTTTATCCTCGTATGCAGGCCAATTAAAACCGTTATTTCTTTCCTTAATTTTTCCTCAGCATGTTTTACCTGCTAACTCAAAATTCAAATGAATATTGGAATTTTTGGCCATATGGGAGGGTGTTCAGAACAACATGCTTTCCTTTTAAGTGACATTGTGTAGTCAGCTTCTTCTAGGGCAAGAGTGGCCTTGACAGAAGGGAAGGGTATATGTAAATACCTGTCACTTCCTTCCCCCTGAGAAAATGAGAACAACAATCAGACAAAGTAGAATGTGTTCTCAGCACTTGGCTTCTGTACTTCAGGAGGATGTAGATATTTGGACTTTTCCTAAATGTAGAGCCATAAACTTTTTTTTTTCTTGTGGTATGGGGAATTGAACTTGTGGCCTTTGCACTGAACTGTCTCCCCAGTTCTTTTCTTATTTCTTTATTTTGAGAAAGGGCTGTACTTGGTCACTAAATTGCCTAGACTAGGCTCAAATTTGCAGTCCTCCTGCCTGAGCCTTCCATAGTGCTGGGATTACAGGTGTGCACCACCACACCCAGCTCTAGAGTCTTAGGCTTTTAATGGTAGAAAGAACCTGAAAAGAAATTTAGTGTAGTTGTTTTTACCATTATTATTTGTACCTTCCCATAGTAAGAACAGTAGTAAGAATGACATTTTAGGTTCTTAGTCTTTGGAAGGGAAAGGAAGGGTATGTAAAGGGCTTTTCAAGCCATTTGTTTGGACACAGGGAAGTTTGAGTTAACTTTAAAAGAAATCAAGATCACTTTGATGAATGGTCCCTTAGCATTCCCATATTAGGAAAGCAGTGGAAGTGATTCCGAGAGCCTTTCTGCTTTGGAAATTAATGTCTCTTCTACCCTCATCTTTTTCCTCAGTTGTACATGCCCAATCCTAGATTGCCTGTGCCTCGTCCCTATTAGACCCAGTCTCATTCTCTCCATTAGCAACAGGGTGAGAACACACATGGAACTCAGTGGTGTGGATTTTCTTATTTCTCTTTCCCATTTTCCCATCTTTTCCCTTCATCTCAATAGTTACAGATTCAGGGTTCATCAGACCGAGCTTCCTACTCTATTCAGTTCATTTTCTTCTTTTCAGCTGAATCAAAGTAACACTTGGATTAACTGTATTAAAGGTAATACTAATTATAGTCGTATAAGTGACCTGTGTATTCTTTTTTTTTTTAATTCTTTTATTGGAAAGAAGGAAAAATTATGAGAAAATTTAAAAAATGGAAATGCAACCCAAATACAATTCTTTTTTTTCTTGTATTAAATTCTTTTATTGGTACATTGTAGCTATACAACACAATTACATTTCTCATTGGGAATTGTACCTTTACATAATGCATCTTGGTTCTTATTTTTTCCCCATTCCTA